ACACTCGAGCATCCTCGACTTGCTCCTACTCGACCACTTTCTTCTCCAAGTCGGCCACCTTCTCCTCCCATTCTGCACTGAGAGCATCAACCCTAGCAACATTTTGTTCGAGCTCAGCTCACAATGATAGCACCTTGGCTTGAAGGTTCTCGTACTCCACGGTGACCCCTTTGCCCACCTCGAGCTCCTCGTTCTTGGCATGAAGTAGCTCCTCGAGCTCACTGCACCTGCGGATAGACCGCATTATGTCCTCATCTCTTTTCTCCAATTCCTCCCTAGTGGACTGGGTACCGGCACTTGCTCTAAGCCGTTCACACAACTCATGACATCTGTTACGATACCGCTGATACTTCTCAACAATTTTCAGAAAAATCTCGACCCGCGTCTCAGCCCTACGAGCGTTTTCAATCTCCAGCAAGTAAGTCTGCAAAAAGGAGAGGAAAAAGTTAGTAAGGATAAAGGGTCGCAAAACAAAGAAGACAAAATGGAACTTACCCTTAAGCAATTGCGGCTACGCCACGTGACAATTGAGAATCGTTGACCTCCTGGAAGGCCCCGCTTTCAGCGGCAGAGTAGAGAAGATCAAACTGCGGCACCAAATCCACCGTATCCTACAACAGGTTGAGATCCAACGGAATTTCAAGTATGCGAGAGGGGCCTTCCACCATTACCACAGTCCTGGTAAAGACCTCCTTGAACATCCTCGTGTCATCAGGGTCGCAGGGTCGATGTCAGATTCAATCTCATAATCCTCAACCATGACGCCCTTCCCGTTCACTTTGGTCGAAGAAGGGGTGCGGTTCTGCCGGGATGATGATGGTCTACTCGGAACACTTACGGCGGCCTCGGAACTCCGTACCTCCGCTACACTAGCTTCTTGAATGCTTGCAACAGGCGTCGCCTCCGCCTCCTAGTTAGTCCCACTGACGGTTTCAGGAACCGCCGAAACAAGGTCGCCTCTAGAGGGCGTTTTGGTTACAGAAACCCCCTCCAACACTACCCTTCGTCTCTTCGATGGGGCCTCACCACTACTAACACATGAAGATTCACTCGTGGAATGGACTGCGGGAGTCAGAATCTCCGGTTGATTAACCTCCGAGCGCGCAGCTTCATCCGCAGCAGGTCGAACTGTAGTTCTTGGTGTTGGCCGGGTAGCAGCCCTCGGCGCAGGACGGGTAGAAGGCAATGTTGGACAAAATGCGAGTGGATGAGCCCTCGTCCTCCTCACTCCTCCTCGACCTATCAATAAAGAGGGATTAGATCATACAACGACAGAGTTTAAAAAGAAAAACTATGAAGCAGGGAAGAAATTAAAACTACAACAAGTCAACTCACCAGTAAGAGGCTTGCGCCCAAACTTCTCATAGAAGGGTGCCCAATCACGAATTCCCACCGTGTGGGGGAAAATTGCACTCACCCACTCGCGGATATCGGCGACCAGCGGGGGAGGTAATCTCTCAGCTGCAAAGGCAAAACAAGTACTCAGCGATGTCTCCTAAATGAAGACGATCGATGATTGTCTTAAGAAAAATCACAAAATAAACAAAGGAAAACTCAGAAGCAAAGTTCCACGTCTCCGGAAGCCCTGCCGAATTCGCCACAAGGTGCTTTGTCCGTACATAGAAGTAGCTTTCCCAAAAATGTCGATTGGCCTTATCGTCCATCTTCACCACCAAACTCTTGATTCCTCGATGGCGCATATGGATCATTGTACCCCAGAGAAAATGAGGGGCAAAGATGTGGAGCATGTGCCCTAGGGAATTCCTCGGCCAGCCAGTTCCGCGTACTTGATGAGCATAAGAAAGAACTTGTACGCATATGGAAAGAGTTAAACCGAGCACACTTCATAGAAGCGGTAGAAGTCCACCACCAAAAAGGAAGGGGAAGCATGTACCCGACAACGAAGGGGTACGTGTAAAACGCGCAATACCCTGGACGGTAGAAATGTACAATATCCTTCCCCGCCGGAACCATTTCAATGTGAACAGGGACCCCTCACTTAGCTTTGAGCGCCGCGATCGCCGCCTCATCCATGGTGGAAGGAACAGACTCCGTCTCACTCCTTGAAGGACTGTAAAAATCGGTTCTTGCCTTCCCCGGATGAGGAATTATCTCATCCACCGTTGGAAATCCCTCATCTTCCACCACTTCCTTTCCCTCTTCGAATAGGGATACGTCACTTTCCGACACCATAGCACCAACAACTCTATCGGATTGGGAAGGAGTACTAGCCATTTGTTTTTCTTGATCGAAATAAACAAGAATGGTGAAGGAAAAGAGATGATGGTCAAGTCGAATTCTATTGAAAGCAGAAGTATGAAAGACTAGGGGAGGAGGAAGTTTGCCAAGTTCTTTCTTAGATAAACTGAAAAGCACAACAATCAAATAAAGGATTCTCCCTATGTATAGGGACATAAATGTCCTGAGCGGGAAACCCAAGAGCCGCCAATAAAAAAACTGAAAAGGCACAGAAAACAATACGGTGCCTGGGAAACGTGCGCCATAATGACGCATAATAGGTATTCATGATACCCTGAATCGATGTGACGATCCAACTCTGAACTGACGTAACGGTCCTATGCAGTTCTTAAATAGTCAAGTCACTATCTCGCCATGAGAACCTCGTCTCTTGTGTAAGATGGCCAGATTTCTCCCACTTTTTGAATCAACAGAGTCCGCCTATCGAGCTCGTCAAGAGGCGACCCCAACAGGCGAAGGGACTAACTGTATGAGTCAAAATCCATCCATGAGGATCAAAGCTAAAAGGAATGGTAGGGGGTCGACTGAGCCGTGGTCGTATTCACAAAGTATCACAACGACAAGCATCTCGACCACAGCCAAGATCGAGCCATCATTAAGCATGTACGGCGAAGTGTGTGTCGCAATGCTTTAGGGGAATAATGAAAGATATAATCAAGAGAAAATATTCTGGTTAAAGATCGTTGGGCAAAGGTGAACATTATTAGTATAAATAGAAGGTAAGAAGGCAAGAAAGGGGGGCTGACACCAAAAAGAGAAAATGAAACAGAGGAATAGAAGAGGATCTCCAACAAGTTAAAAGCCAAGATTTCGGCCGCAAATCTCAGTAATCTCCATGACTGATTCAATAAAGATAGGTCCAATAATTATCCATAGCATTCTTTCCCTCTTTGCTCTTACAAGTACGGAATAATGTATCAACGATGTAAGCTTATCATTTATGTTTGATGCCTTTTTATAGACTCAAGAGGAGCTATATAAACTTGACTTCGTTCGATTCTCATGTTCACATGCTTAAATCTAGAGTTAATTATGTTTGGCTAAGATTTATCCTTTATTTTCTTCATTAATTGGTTTAACAAAAGATTTAACACTTTTTGGTCAAACAATGTAATTTTACTAAATTTTATTTTTCGTTGCTTTCTCATATGAAAAAAAAAACATTTACTGAAACTTCTAAGCAAGAACGTAATAACAACTAATGCTTTGAAAATGAAGTGATAAGAACAGTTAACAATGCTGAATTATTAAGTACTTTTCCACTAAGATGGACTTACTTTATTGCGACCTTTCAGTATCAAAGTGTGTGATTGAAAACTTTTTGCTTATGACTTTACAGAAATAAAAAACTAATAATATACTTTCTTTTCTCTTTGTTTTTCTTTCATTTGCCTTTTGCTTTACCAGCTTATCAACTTTCAAACGGAACGCCAATTGGCATTGTTTTTGGAACCACATTTTCTACGTATGTATTCCTTAATGTCTAAGTATATGTATAAAGACAGCATTTTAAAATCCAAATAATAGCAAAGTTGAAATCAATACGAAAATGCAAAGGTTTAATCATAGCTAAATATATATAAGATAAGAAATATTTAAAGAAAAGGAAAAACTACATATTTCCCTACTTTAAACTCTAAGCAAATATAACACGAAATTATATAAATTTGACACTTTTTGGGGCAGTCTTTACTTTTGCCTCCTGCTTGCCCAGAGGCAAAACTTCAAAGTCAAAAGTTAAAAGTGTTACTCATAGGGAAAACGAGAAATAATACTTGTTAAACTCGAAGTTCTGCCCGTTGAGCAATCGGGGACAAAAAATCAAGACCAACTACTTCGAAGTCTATTTGTGTACTTCACCCCCAAATATAAAGATTAATGGGCCTAAATGGGTCAGGGATCAAGGCCAGCCTATTTCCAATTCATAGGCCCAAAATCCAGAGGTTGAAATCGGTTGATTGTTAATAATTTGTGCTTAAACTTCTGTAAAAATCTCAACACCCCATTATTGGACCTTAAAAAGTATTAAAGAAAATAAAGTGAGGCTTTTTAATTTGGTGTCACTCGACTAAATTGATGATTGGAGATTGTTTATGTTGATATTTGGAAGCTTTGTTTCAAATTTGAGATCATTTGGAATAGATTTGGAACGATTTGATCGGAAGTGAGGTTGCAAATTCAAAGAACACCACTAAAACAACTCAGAAAAAGTATACCAATCCGGTAGACTTCGATGTACAACTTAACAAATAAATAGACACAATATAATATCAACTATAACAATCCGATAGAGAAATTCGTGAAGATCAGAAATATGACAACCATAGACTTCAATGAACAATTTAACAATAGCATCAACTCTACTGAATTGAGAAAAGCAAAAGTATGACAATCCGCTAAACTTTGATGAACAATTTAATCTGATAGAAAAACCGCTAAAGAGCATGCGCAGGTCGTGAATCATGTTTTAAATACCACAAATTTTGAAAACATGTCGCTAAGACCACCCCAAAAAGTCCCTTTGGTAATTTGAAATCCTTATGAATATTCCAACTGCACGTCCAAATCTAAGTTTCTAAATGGAATTAACTAAAATAAACTTCAACCACAATGTTGATATATCAAATTTCTCGATATCTCATACATCAGAACAGAGTATCTCGTAGAGAAAGGGACAGCAAAGGTGGAATGGGAGAAGAAAATAGTTCGAATAATCATGTTAGAATTGCTTATAGCTGAAGTAAAAATATAAACCACAAGAGAAACGTACAATTAATTTATCAATGTCACAATCAAAACATGTAGAAAGTCATATCATACCATAATAAACAGCTTATATACCAAGATCGACATATCGACACAAAAGTTGCAGATTACAAGACTCTTGAGCCCCAACATATTCCTCAATTCATATAGTATAGGAAAAGTTGGTCTCAGACCTTAATAAATAAAGTTTTGCACATAGTAGTACAAATGAAAATTTGGAAGAATCAGATAAATCTCCAAAGACCATTGAACAGCTTTCTCACCACACCTTATTCAGCATCTGCAAATCTATTATAAAAGATAAATAACCAATCAAGTCACTTTTAAGATAATTATAAATAAATTTCTATGATGAGTGCTAATTGGTAATTTGGTAAATACTGTTATCCTTGGATAAAATTCACAAGTGTATATAACTTAAAGATAACTTACCCAAGCTCTGCAAGCTTCAAATGAGCTTCAGCATAGTCAGCAAAGAAGGCATCTTCATCCTAGAGCAAAGCCATAATGTTATCAAATAATACAAGAAGATCATCATATAAATGTTATGTTGAACTTCAATAGGGATCAGGTTAATTTCACGGATGATCATTCAACTTCATACTTACTGCACCAAAATCATAAAACTAATTTTTCTTATGAAAATATAACTCAATTATGCCTATAGGGCAGCCCGGTGCACAAGGCATCCCACGTTCACACATGGTCCGGGGAAGGGCCGCACCCCAATAGGTGAGATGTAGACAGCGTACTCTAATGCAAGCATTAGTAACTGCTTCCACGGCTCGAACCCGTGACATAAAATAGAAAACGTCAGAAAATGCTAAATATGGTTTTGAAAGCACAATTAAGATGCAGTCAACATACTGCAGCGTATTTCTCGACGAGAGGGCGGAAGACTGGATCTTCTAGGAGTGCTTTGTCTGATGGTAGCTGGAGGAGACCTTCTTTCTCTCCACTCAGGAGTTCCCTGGCATTCACAGAAGTTACGACATAGCATTCGAGTTATAGAACTAATCCTGGCAAATTTTTCTTGTGCTTCCAAGAACTAGCAAATTCATAAATAGCATGAAAACAGAATATGTGGATTCAGGAGCCAAAGTTAAGTAGGCATTGCTACAACAGCAACAACAACAACATACTTACTTGAAATATGAATTATCAAATATCAAAGGGTTGTTAGTCCATGCTCCCTCAAATCCTGAGCGTTCTTTGTGGCACCTTCCCTGATTAAAGAACCAAGAAACCACAATACTAAGGACCAAAGACAATGGAAATACATATTCTAAAGGCTTAACTTCAAGGAGTGATTGCAGCATATATCAATTCTTTCCCTGCTTACCAGAGTGTGACCACCAGATAAAGCAACAATGTCTTTATCACTCAGCCCCATGTGTCCAAAAACCTCTCTCAGATGGTCTGAGCCTGAAGAAAACAAAAAGTTGCACGATTTTACAGGGACACTGCGTACTTTGAACAACTTTAGATACTGAAAGAGTAAAAGAAGCAAGCAGTGACCTTTAGTGGCATCAGGCAAGCGGCCTTCCGGAGGTGGTTCTGTCTTGTCCTGGAACCGAAACAATGATTTATCATTTTAATTGGCCGATGAGATTAATCCCTATAGAAGTTTAAGTTGCCAATAACTGGGAATCTCAGGACAGTATTTGCCTGATAGTTCACAGGCAATTCTTGCATTCTAATATAACTTTCTTATACACAACAATTACTGAAATTAACTTCACAAAAGATTGGAACTAGATAAGCATTTATGCACACTACTGGTTTTCCTAAGGACATGATATCAACACCCCCCCCCCCCCAAACACACACACACACCCCTCTCAATTGGCTTTCTAACAAGTCGAGCAAATTTCTGTAGTCTATACAGTCTATTTTATCAGTTCCCTCTTTAAATTCTTTACTATTTCTAGAATTTTGTGTTTCGATATCTCATCTTCACTACATAGAAATGCTAAGTAAATAGTTACCAAGTCCTACATAATGAGGTGCTAATCCTAGTTAAGTTCCCATAGCTCAGGTTCAACATTCAAATGACCTCAAAAGGTTCACCTATGCCATTACCACAAAGTTTTCTGGAAAGTCACAATTTCAGTAAATCAGTTCTTGGCAGGATTGAAGATTACATACACTACCCCAAAGACGATTTTCACGTCTAATATGGAGAAGACAGTGAAGCATTTAAAGGGAGAAATAACTTTAATCCAAAGAAGGTGATTACTAGCCCAGCTGAAGCGAATCTGAGGCACCCTTTTCTCAAACAAATGGGAACAAACTAAGATTAGTCTACGAAAAATGGCACATATGCATGGTCTACAGACTAATAGATATATGATCACATTCCATTTACACCGATATCGAAAATAACTTAGTTAATAGTAAGCTACCAACACAAGGAGAAAGATGGAACCATGTATTGCATCTTCAAATTGGCTACCAAGCAAGAGACTGATTGATACTTTAACACACTTTTATTATATAGCCAAACTTTCTGGCAAAGTAAGAAAAGAGAATCCAAGTTACTGACCTGTCTCCCTGGGTGAAATGGAATATCAGGGCCTCCCGTGACTTCAACAGCCACAACGCCAGCCAACTTCATTTTAGGACCAAAAGGATGACCATTAGATGCATTCACACAAAAAAAGTGACTTTCTCCAAACATTTGCATTGCCTGAGAAATTTTTTTACCTGATAAAAGTCGGCATAGGATAGGATTGGAAATTGCTCCTTAATTGGCTCCAAAAGCCGAACAGCAATGTCAAGACCATTGTTAGCTGCATGTTTAAGTTCATCAAGGTGCCTGATTGTCCCGAATGGACCGCCAGTTTTGGTTTTGACATCATATGTCCCTGCTGAATGCCATCTGAAAGTCGAGTAATAGTACACTTCAGGCCACCATTATGGACAAGCTAAGGTGCTCAAGCTTAGTGGACAGTATTATAAATTCTCTTACCTTTCTGTTTTACAATATTATAATCAAATTACATGTTAAGGCAAGTTTTCATAGTATCAACAATTGAATTCTAATGTTCCTCTAAGATAATCTAAGCTGAGGCCAGTACTAAGATTGTCTTATAGAACGATTTAGAGTTTAGGTAGCCAATTACACTGTAATTTACAACAACAATAACAAATACAGTGTAATTCCACAAGTGGGGTCTGGGAAGGGTAGTGTGTATGCAAACCTTGGGGTTGAAGATAGAGAGGTTGTTTTCGGTAAACTCTCGTCTCAATAAAAGTATAGTCACAGTATTATTAAAAGGAAATACAGTAATGGATACAGTAATAGTAACGAAGCAGTAACAAGTAATATTAACAACAACAAGATAGGAAGGTAACCGAAGTAAAAAAAATAACTGATAGTACTAGATATCTAAGTATAAGAAAGCACGGGAACCAATTACACTGTAATTTGCAGTCTACAAATGGAGGCAATCCAATATTATGATTATACCCATGATTCCATACATACATACATACATACATACATACATACATACATACATACATACATACATACATACATACATACATACATACATACATACATACATACATACATACATACATACATACATACATACATACATACATACATACATACATACATACATACATACATACATACATACATACATACATACATACATACATACATNNCTAATCATTAAAAACAGAGAGAGATATATGCACACTTACAATTTTTACTAAAAAAAGATAAACTTATCAACACCACAACATCTCCTCTCTTTCGATATTTACAGTCAAACATACTGAATTCAACTCAATAAGATTCGATATTGATCATAATTCTACTCAGCAATAAGCAATTAAAAAGGCGAGAGAGAAAGAGAGAGCGCTTACGCCAATCGGAGGATAATAGGAGCACAATTCTTCTCAGCAATGAGTCCTCTAAGCTTTCTCTTACATTTCTCTACTGCTTTTTCATACTCTTCGCTCACTTTCGGATAGCACTTTCCCATTATTACCGATCACAGAAGATTTCCCAACTACAAAATATCAAAAAACAGTAACATTAAATCAGCTTAAGCTCAATCAAATTCAAATATATTACTGTACAAAAATCAATCATTGTTGAAAGGAAAAAAAAAAGAGGAAGAGTCAGACCTTTGAAGCAAAATGGACCACTGTAGAGTGATTGAGTCTAGAATTATGTAGATGAGCTCTGAATTTAGACTGTGAAACAAATATATAGGCTTATAGCATACACTAGAAACATCTAGCAACTGCTATGACTTACCTTAACTGTAGTGTTTTATTTTTTGTGAAATATTCAACCGTTGTACCTTTCTACGTGAAAATGTTAAAGTACGTCGAAAATTTTATAAGTTATTGCAAGCATTAAATTACAATATAATGTGTTGTGTATAAACTAAAGATTATTACATAAACAAGCATTAGATTCGATAACATTATCCGGAAGAGAAAAATTTTAAGTGCTATATCTACATACTATTTTACACAGAGGCGGATCCACGATTTCAAGAGTATGTGTGTGCTATTATGAAAAGGTGGATCTAAAATTTAAATTTGACAGGTTTTAAAATTTACCATGAACCCGCTACACTTTGAAATTATAGGTTCAAAATTATATTCCTTATAAAATTTTAGTAATTTTCACTTATACACTATGCTCTGAACCGAAAATAAGACCGTGCAGAGTAGGATTTGAAACATTTACTTGTAGACGTGCATCCAATAATTATTGCATCATAGGAACCATTGAGCATAGGTGTACACACATATATTTAAATAATTTTGAAGAAATATAATATTATTATATATAGTTTACGGAGAGGAGTATGGGTTCACATGAACCCATATGCCTAAGCCCAGATACGCACCTTATTTTACAAGAGAAACTTTTAGAAACCACTATGTTTTAGTGATTATTAGCTAGTTGTAGCTACCATTTACTATATTACTTCCTATAGCTATGTTTTCAGATTTTTTTAGAGTGTATTTGATGTATTTAAACTACTGTATTCATGAATACAGTAGTATTTCTAGGCGTGAAACAGGGGATTACAGCTAGACAGATTTTTACATTCGAGTGTATTCGATTGTATTCATGGCGTGAAACATGGGATTACAACTAGACAGATTATTGTATTCGACTGTATTCACGGCGCGAAACATGGGATTACACTGTTTTTAAACGGAAAGTGAATCAATTAACATAATAGACTCATAATATAACTCAACAAACTCAATTATAACACACAAATTTTGTATTTTCGGTTATAAAAAAGATTCTCAACCGAAAAATACCCCAAAAACATAGCAATCTTCAGAGAAATTATATAATACATCTGAATACATAAATTATATTAATTTAAAAAAACATATGAATACATTCACGGAATATAGCGAGACAGTGAATACAATGAAATACATAGAATACAGCGGGATACATTGAAATACAATGAAAAAAAGATAATGAATACAATGAAATACATAGAATACATCGAGATACATTGAATACAATGAAATACAGCGAGATATATTGAAATATATTAACAGAAAATTCAAGTTGCTCAGCCCTCAACTCCGCTGTCTTTGTTCAAGAACAACCATAAGCTTACGTATATCGAAGTGGCAACATCAAGCGCATAAGCACCAACTGCCGCCGCAACCAATTCTTTTCCGGGCTTCACCACCGCACCAACACCAACAATCCCAAAAGCCCCTAACGGAACCCCCTTCAACAGCTCTTTCCTAGCCCCTGAAACGATAGCGTCTGCAAATACCTCCACCGCAATGTCCTTAAATTCAGTATTCCCAAGCACAATTTCGCTCTTTTTCTTCTCGCCGGACCAACGCGTGGAGACAACTTTTAAGGCCTTATCTACTTGTAATCGGGTCGGAGGCGATTTGACCCAGTTGGTTATGAGAGGGACGGAGGGA